CTATTCTGTCAATATCACCAATTTCTAAAATGCTAACGAATGCTTTATTACATATTCCAATTCATTTTTCACTTCTCTTACACTAATAGATAATTACACATCTTATCAAAAATACCAGACTTAGTTTATAGCTTTTAACCTGGATTGTATGCTTCGATACGGAATGCTACATCCTTGCAATACATCATATTCATTAGAAAGGGGTTGTGCCACGCCCATCGCTAAAACCTATTTATTAACTTTTCAACTGTTATATTTAATCGCAATATCAGATTCCCTTGCATCTCCGAATATGAGTCTTGCTGCTGGTTCAACAAATATGTCCATACTTTCGTCATCCGCTAATTCCTCCGGCCTGAATTCAACCAGCTTGGCGGATAACTCGACTACTGGGTCAGTCTCCACAAGACGACGTTTCATTCCTGCCTTAGTCGTCCTGCCTTCAGCCATGCCAAGCATTGATCTCACTTCACTCCAGTCTCATTACAAGACCAGCCAGGTTACCTCGATCCCTACGTCTCCGAGTAGTCCTGTATCTGCTCCTCTCTTGCTCCTTACTCGTTCTTTTAAGGATAATCGATTTCACGCTGCACCTTTGGATTGCCTATCGCGTCTGCGGCGCTCAGCGGCCGTTCGTCTTGCCCATCAGCATCCTGAACTACGGACTGCCTTTGAGCGTGCAATGCTTTGGATCGACCGTCGAGAATTACCACCTAACTGGGGTGTTGATGCAATAGATACATTGCTGGGTGATATAGAACGTCGTCGGCAGAAGAGACGGCGTAGGCGTCGTCGCCACCAACAACGCCGGCAACGACGTCGACAAGCTTCGACAGCTGCAAAGAGACGTCTTGATCGGCAAAAGCAGAAGCAGTTACAAAATGCTTCCGAACGGGCATCAAGCTCCTCTGGAAAACGGCGAGGCACTAGAAAAAAACAACTGCATGCCCGCAAAATATGCATTACAAAGGACATGGAATTGGTAAGAGGCGTTGAGTCTAGTAATATTGATGGGGGAGTTGGTCGAAATCTTAGTCCGCTTCACTTGCGTGCTTCCACTCCAGCTAGCAGTAGCGAACTCTCCAGGCCCCAGCCTGCTCCGGACTTCCCTTTGGTCGACTCTAGTTCAAATCTTGCAAGGGAAACCAGAACTAGTTTACTGGCCACAAGCACTCCGGGAAAACGAGTTAGTCGGGCAAGCAAGCAAACTGATTCCAGGCGGCGAGGAGCACTTCAAACAAGCGATAGACGAGCACGTTCGAATTCACCTCTAATGGTCGCTTCCACTCCTTCGACGCTCATTATAATAGCAGAGACTATTCAGCCCGAATCAACGACGACTATTAAGGAGGCGGCACGCAGTCACGCCTCTGCGAAACGATCCCTTAAAACAGCCTATAGACGCTCACAGTCGTCAGACAGAAGTGCTGCAGAAGCACACTTGCAAAGTGCTGTTCTTTGGGCATTGCCAGAGCGCAGTTTTGATCTTCCGTTCGAAGCCACAACTTCATTGGCAGTTCTTCCACAGTGAGTTTTATTTTCTATGTTACAAAATTGCTATCGGCTCATCTGCGTTTCCAGCATTCCTTGCTTTAATCCTCCTTAATAGCCATTTTCTAGTTCTGCCTTCTATACTCTTACTCATTCAAGGGTTCGGTGTTCAGACCTTAATTTAGTTTACGATGGAATAAACAGTTTTTTGCATAGAGCTAGAGAAGAGAATGGATTT